GTATAGTAGAAGCCCAAACGTTGAAAACCCAATAGCCTCAAAATCCTTAAGAGTCATGCATAGGGAATCCTAGCACATATTATCCTCAATCCGGTTTCCAACCTTAAACTTTTTGGGAGTTTACTGCAAAGGTTTAGGGATGAGGGGGATCCCGTGTTTTTATCATGGTCGTTGTTCTTAGGCCTACTACTCAGCTGTGCTGTTGGCAACATTATCATCGCTGGATCGTTGCTGTCGCTATCAGTACGTCTTCCAGTGTCCGGTCTAGCCTACCGGTAATACTGACTCGAACCACTGTTGCCCACCATGTAAGTTTCCGCTCTAGTGCCAAATTACAATCAACATCAGAGGTGCGGTTCAAGCATGTTCGTGTTCCCCTGGCATCATCCATTTATCGGGCCTTTTGACCATCCGGATGCTGTTCTGAATCGCGGTCTCCCCTATAGTGGCAACATCGTATTTGAATCTTGCCTGACCCTAGTTTTCACGGGCCCAATGTTCCCAGCTACATTTGAAGGCACGTTCTCGGCAGAATGCTGTTCTCGACGCGCAGAACCTCGCATTGTTCCTGGTCATCAAGAATATCCAAGATCACAGGACCACGGAAGACGAGGCATCAACACTCTAATCTGTGACCGTGACGTTCGGAAAGTTTTTGTGTCACAAAGACTGTCCCTAAACCCTAAACCCTAAAGAGTGAATCCTGCGCTGTGCTGTGTTCATTGCTGGGGTCCCTGCACGGGTTCGATTATTGCAGTATCTACATACAAAGATAAACCCCGGAGTTGCTGCAGTTAGGGTTTAGGGCTTTAAGGGTTTAGGGGTTTAGGGTGTAGGGGCATGGAGATGTTTTGTTGGGATGTGTCGCTCTCTCTCTCTCTCTCTCTCTCTCTCTCTCTCTCTCCCTGTTTGGGATACCGGTCGCAGGCCTCATCATCATCGAGCTCTTGGTCATCTTCGACAGCATCCTCGTCATCCTCCTCCTCAATGATTTCCTCGACTTCAACCGGGTCTTCTGTATTGCTGATGCCTTCCCTCGCATCAACAATGTCTGACACTTCCTCTTCGTCTAGTACATCTAGCAGATATGCAACCTCCTCTTCTATGAGGTCTTCATCATCTTCATCCAGCTGGTCCTCATCGGCATCTGCGTCTACGGAATTCGCCGCGCCGCCATCGCACGATTCACTTGCATTGTCTTCCCCGGAATCCGGTTCCAGGTCTTCTGCAGCCCTCTTTGCTGTACCTGCGTTGCATGCTGAAGAGCAGGAGCCATCAGAAAGCAAGGCTCGTACATATACCACGGCTATTTTGGAGGCACACCAGAGGCTTGAAGAGTACCTACGTGCAGCTTGGAGCCTGCTGTTCGTTGGGATGAGCGGCTATGTCTTGTCGCTTCTTTGCTTCTTCCGTCGAAAGACACCGTAATCGTATCGGTAAGGGCGATCGGCTGGAAATGTAGAAGGTCTCCAAAATGACGAAAGTGCGACGCTTTGGCAGCATTGCCAAGAGACCGGCCTTCATCAGCTCACTCTGCAGACGTACCTTCTTGGTCTCAGGTCTCTTTCTGAAGCTACAGCGCCTCACGATGCTGGCCTCCCGAAGCCTTGGGGTAAGAGATCTCGTGGACGTATGCGGGGTAGTGTGGTCTCTGAAAACTCGCACGTCCTTGCGGGGTTTCCAGGAGCTGAGCAGGCTCTCTGTTGTGGCAGCACAGTGTGAAGATGTGGAAACATGTATGCTGCACCAGAATCAGAAATCCTGGACCCTAAACTCCTGAACCCTAAACACCTATGAACCCTAAACCCTAATTTCTAGAGCTTACCTGGGACGGCTAGCTCCCTTGAATTTGTTGCCGCTGGCTGCTGGCATCCGAGTAATATGTGGATCTGGATAACGTGGAATATCCACTTATAATGCTGCACCCAGAACACTAGAATCTACCCCGCAACCCCATTCTAATTAATGGGTTCCCATCTTTGCACTCCAAGATCAAAACCTCCCAAAACCCTATACACAGACCCCTGTTCAAGATCTACCCCGCGTGCAAAGACTCTCTCGCCTCGATATTGAAGCCAGCTGAAGGACACAACATCCCGAACTGTCCAGGGCAGTGAATGTAATATCCGGGTCGGAATAACTAGTAATATAAGGGCCTTAATAATTAGAATAGGGTCTTTATTGTACTTAAAATATATTAGACCCCGAAACCCTGTTCTAATTAAGGCCCCTACATTACTCGAGATTTGGGGTTGGGGTGGAACAGATACAGTTGGCGGTGGACGGTGAGTGAGGTTCTGGCATTTCTGGAAAGCAGGGCGTTTCAGCGAGATCAGCTCGATATCTTCGTCTTATGGGAACTCACCACCTGTGCGTCTGGGAGCTTCCACAGTTTCAGCCATTACTATTCTTGCTGCGATGCTGCCACCGTGTCTACTCAACGTATACAAGACCTGAAGCCGTTTACTTTCAGATGCCTGAAGCCCCACAATTTCCGAATCTGTGTCGCAATCGACATGGCCTCGAAATCAATCAGTAAGCCTAGATGGCTGATTATTTGGCCTAGCTTTATAGGCATAGAAGTCAACAAGACTCGATGCGGACTGGCAGGGGCGTGCAGAGATCTTCGTGGTTTCAGGGCTTGCAGGCTCTGTTGTAGACAGCCTGCCCGATGATCACGAATCCAAGTCGAAAGGGCTAAGCGAATCCCTAAACCCTAAACCCTAAACCCTAAACCCCCTAAACCGTGGCGGCCGTAAGGCCTTCACCGTAGATAGGACTAGCAGGGAGCTTACACCTCCAGCTTGCTCCGCTGACACACGTGATCCCTCGAACAGTCAGCTCTCCCACACATCCCACGCATAGGATCGAATAAGGCGCTTGTGAATAAGGTCTATTTGTAGCTTTTTGTTGGGGGGTTGAAGGTTGCTGGGTCGGAATGGCTAATATAGGGGCCTACAGAATTACCAATACTATTTTGGGGGGTTCCTTATTATACATATAGTATAATATACCCCAGAACCCTATTCTAATTATTAAGGCCCCTATGCTAGCACTCACACTCCGGTCCTATCGGGGTTGTAGCACGAACCTCAGAGTCCCCACCAGTGCCTCAGTGCTATTGAAGCCGCTGAGGTTCCACAGGAAAGAGCGAGCGGCTTACAAGGCTTGGTCGGGCTCATCCAGATTTTACTAAAACCCTAAACCCCTAAACCCCTAAACCCCGAAACCCCAAACCCTATAAACCCCCGACGAAGCCCTATACACCCTTTACGAAGCCCTATAAACATCCTACTAAACCCTATAAACCCCCTAAACCCTATAAACCCCCTAAACCCTGTAAACCCTAAACCCTAAACCCTAAAGGCCCTAAACCCGAAGCCGAAGCCCTTGTGGTTCGGGGTTCAGCTCTCTTGCCGTTGGCTACAACTAACCCATGTTCGGTTTAGGGTTTGGGGTTTGCGGTTTAGGGTTTAGGGTTTAGGGTTTACGGCTTAGGACTCAGGGCTTTGGGTTTAGGGGTTTAGGGCTTTAGGGTTTAGGGTTTAGGTTCAGTGCACAACATCCCGTAGTTTTGCCGGTTCTTTCGGCTCCCCGTCGTCGTGGCGGCAGGAGGGGGCCGGTGGCAAATCGCAGTGTGCGATGGTTTTAAGGGCTTTAGGAGGGACCCTTAATAGGGACCCTTGTAGGTTTTTGGGGTTACTATGGAGACTACCTGGCTATAGAAGGGGTATATAAGGACATAGACAAATGGTTATTTAAGGTAATGGGATTAAGGGTCCCTATTAGGCGTCCCTGCTAAAGTCCTTAGAATAGTGTGTTTTGGTTAGGGCCCGTTTGTGGCAGCTCGAGGCTTCCCGGGACGGGTCTAGCTGAGTCTAGCTCATGTCCGTTAAGGACCTAAACCCCAAACCCCTTGCCCCTAAACCCTAAACCCCAAAACCCTAAAGTTTAGGGTTTAGGGGTTTAGGGTTTAGGGGTTTAGGGTTCAGGGCTTAGGGATGTGCAGCTGACTGGGGGTTGGTTTATTATTTAGGGTTAATGATGCTGGGGCTTCAGGGTTTACCAATAGTCTCCGTTGTAGTTCCTTTTGGGGGATACCTTATGAAATNNAAATCCTTAGTAAATAATTGGTTAAACCAGGAAAGGAACTACAACGGAGACTAGGTAGGGTTGAGGAGCCGGTGCTTCAAACTTTGTTTCGTCAGCCTGAGGAGTTTTTGCGCCAGGACAGACAGGACGGCAGAGGATCTCTAGATCGCAGTGAGGGTCCGTGTGAATTACTTTCGTGTTGTGGAATCAGGTAGTCTTGCTAGCGACGACCCACTATTCGAAGCATGCCTGACAGTCAAGCTCAGACAGAGAACGTGTCTTCTGATGTGTTCGTTATTTTTACTGCGTTCATTGTTAACGATGACGGTCCTCGATCGTCAGAACCACCTGGAGCTTGGCTTGGCCTGCTCTTGAATCTCTGCCCTAAACCCCTAAACCCCT